GGGTAGATATTGGAGGTTGGTGGAGAAGTCCCAGAAATGTTGCTGGACAGAAAAACCTTCAATCTGTCTTCTGACCCTCCCAAGATAATGAATTAAGGGTAGGTCATTCTTGGAGGCCAGATGGAGAGTTTCTAGTAAGTGGCTAAAGGTGATATTTGTTATTCTTTAGGGCCAGGTAGAGGGTTTCCAGTAAGGCACCCAAGAGGGGAAGGAGGTCTAGTCCTAATGTAACTGCCTGTTTACCTAACAACTCCCCTTACTACATTCAGATCCATAGTAAATGACAGCATCTTAATTTAAAAGTTTGAGTCTGTGGTCATATTTTGAGTGACTTTGGCAAAGAGTAAAGTCCTGAAATGGTAAGTTTGAGGAAAATAGATAAAGTACTGATTTTCATCAAGAAGTGACACCATTTTAAAGCCTCTGCAAGTGAAACTTGAAGTCCTTCCTCTGTGGTGCTATTAGGAAGTCTGGTTCTGGATGAGGCCAAAATATAAAGACACTGAAGAACCAAACTCACAAGAATATGCCAAATGCTAAATACAACAAAGCACTTCAAGCCAGACTGTGGAAAACAACTCTAATTCTCAAACAAGTAGGTTAATTCTACAAAGTTCCAATACAGTTGGGGGAGGGGGAGGGAATCCTTTATAGTCCCAGAAACTCCTGCAATAGTGAGCAACCCTTCATCTTAGCCTAGCCACTCCTCAATGCCTAGGGCAGGGGTTTCATGATTGAGATGTGCTTAAATTGCTATTCCCTTACATGTCCTGCTCATTTGTTTGTGTATCTTTTCAGTCGTGTATGTTGAAGCTGTATGAAGGAAGGAGAGAGAATCAACATTTAAATCTCTTTTGTAACTCCTATTTTACTGAATCTCATACATTTCCCATGCTTTATTACTATTTCTTAAATCTACAAAAAGATAATAGAAACAGTAGGTACAATCTCCTGATCCATATCTGTATGGAGGCCTTGCTGTGTCACCCAGCATAGCCCCATTAAAATGCAGAAGCACAGTCTCTGAAGTACAAAGGACCTTCATGGAAATCATGTGATTTATTCTGACAAAAGCTTCTATCCTGACCTGATTAAATGTGGGAAGATCACATGCCTGAAGCTGGAGTGGAATCCTCCTGGGTTATCCCTGTTTCTGCAGAACAAAGGCTGACTTCCCAAGAAGGACACCCCCACTGCAAGGACATCTCAGGCTCAGGGTCCCTATGTCCCTCCACATCAGCTCTTTACCCATCTCACTTGGATGGTTTGGAAAAGGATACAGTCTCTCTCAACCCATTCCCTGGGCAGAAGACTTCTTTACTTCTTTCACAGTTTTCCTATCTCTCAGTTTACCTCTTTTTTCATTTTCTATTTCAAGGTTTGTTTTGGGTCCTACCCTTCACTTTGATCTTTTATCCAATGTATGGAGAAAAGCTGAAGTTTGTGAAATACAACATAGGTTGTATTCATAGGTTAGGAAAGGAATTCTTTTTATCAGGGAAATTACAGTTTCAAGGAATTAAATGTCATCACTTTTAGCTCCATTTAAAAGTGACAAATGTTAGCCAGGTGTGGTAATCCCACTATAATTCCAGCTCTCAGAAGACTGAGGCATGAAGGTCACAAGTTCGAGGCCAGCCTAGGCTACATAGTGAGGACGTATCTCAAAAACAGCAAAAGTGGTTAATATTTATATAATTTGGGTTTCAGCAAGTGAATTAATTTGTCTCACATAGCAAACCTTTATACCCAATACAGATCTCAATAACTGGATTGGAGGTGTGGCTCAAGTGGTAGAGCACCTGCTTTGCAAGCTCAAAGTCCTGAGTTCAAATCCCAGTCTCATTAAAAAAATAAACCAGATCTCAATAACCAAGATAATATACAGAATATTTGTTCTTCAAAGACAATCATTATCTATGGAAGTACTTTATTTTAATTATTCTAGTAGTAACAAATTGCCCATTTACTTGTGAGTAAATATGACAAAAGGCAGATTGGTCCAGTTGAGATAGGTCAGCTCTCTGTCTACTTTCAGGAACCAGCAGGTGGTTTGTGACAGAACAAGGAAGACCCGGGCTGCCCTGTTGCCTTCTCAGTTCAAAACCTTCACTGACTGGACTCTTTTGAATCCTTTGGTCAGAACACTCCCTCCCTGATCATCACCTCTCTAACTTTATTAAAGAGCAATACACAAGAACCAACTGCAATAAGGAAAATATGGTTATTATTAAAATATGTCCTAAATTTTATCCAAGTACTGAAATAACAATTCTGTATATTTCTGCTCAAAAGGAAGGGATTAGCCTTTATCTTTTACTTAATTACATATTTATCTATTTATTTGTGTATTTTTGGCAGTACTAGGTGTAAGGTACTGCCGAATTAAGACCATGCCACATGTGGAAAGGAAAGATTTATTAAATATCCAGACCACAGGGCTGCGTCCCCCCACCCCCCATCAGGGAGCAACTTGGCTGAATTGGGTAGTGGGCTTTATAGGAGGGGCCAAGCCATGGTGGGGGGAAAGAGTCTTTGGTCTCCGATTATCTGCGATCACCAGATGGAACAGGTTGACATGCTCGGCTAGTTGAGTAACTGGAAGTTCCTGAGTTGTTTTGCAATCCGAGAAACAATCAGGCAGGGAGAAACAAGCGGTCATAAATCAGGGGGTCTGGTTTTAAGGTGTAGCCTCGAGTCCTTCCGCCCACCCCAAGAATGCCAGGGACCTAACACTAGAGTTTGAACTCAGACCCTTACTCAGTGGGTGCTCTACCACTTGAGCCATACCGCCAGCCCCACCTTTTAGCATATTAGTGACTGATGATACTAGTCCATAATACCAGTACCAATGTGCAACTCTGAGGTCCTCAAGGTTTAGAAAACTCAAAGCTGTTTTTCAATTAGGCATCAAAACTCACCAGCCAGCCAAAGTTGATCTGAACTAATGGAAATATATTTGAAGGCTTCACCAGTTCCAGTTGGATAAACAGAAACATTAATACATTTAATTGCATGATATTCTCTTACACTTAGGGTGCTACGTACATGGCTATATGCACCATGTTACTTTCATTCAGAATTTCTAATTTCCAAATATATGTGACTATAGACTTTTGTATAAACTATACAAAAGACTTATAGATTGTGGCAATAATTTATATATCAAGATTCAGTTGTCTGCAAGGCTACATTAAAATGTTATCTACATGCTACCGCAAGAAGTACTCAATTTTGTGAATGAATCCATAAAAAATGTAAAAGTAGTTGTGAGCAGTTTTCAGACAAGAACACTGCCTGACTACAGGCTTTTTATACTTGAATGGTTGGCTAGAAACAGCTTTAATATGCAATATGGAAAATTCCCTTTGTTTACTTGGAATGAACTTGTTAGGGTACAAATGTTAGGGTACCTTTGAGGCTTGCAGCCCACTTAGCCTGAAACCCGCCATGGCTAACATGACCCAAGCCATCACTTACTGGAACAAAGGGAGGTGGGAAGGTTTCTGGGAACAGGGACTGTTTCTGGTTAATCTTGCTAAAATGGTATGTGAGTCAATGAGTTGAGACACCTGATGTTTACCAAATTCCTGATAAATAATCTTCAAGTAATCTGGCCCCACCACCAGGAAGTGGGAGATATCAGAAATATGTGACCCCAGGGGCCATAAAAATTGCTGTGTGACCATGACTAATGTCTAAAAAATATAAAAGCAGCCTGAACTTTCTATTCGGGGTCCGTGTTGAAACCCACTGCATCGGGTGGATACCTGGACCCCACCTGGTTGGAAATAAACCTCGCTTTGTGGCTTACATTATCGTGAGTGTCTTTTGTTCCTCTGAGGGGTGGTCAACCTTGGACTCCAACATCTGGAGGTTCCACCGAGATCTCAGCCCCTCCCTGAGAGGAACAAACGGCCTCCAATACCGAGGTTTAGTTGAGAAAGACCGCGGAAGGAGGATTGGCCACCTCCGTTTGGAGGGACTTAGAGTCCCCATCTGAATTTGGTTGAGAATTCTCATTGAGTGGAAGGAAGGGGTTACAGCCCTGGAGGCTTCACTATTGGAAGTGGTGGGAGACATCCCCAACAGTCAGGAGCCACGCCGGCGTCCTCAGTGTACGCCGTTTGGGCGGTCTTTGGGTAAGGATCCTAAATCTGGTGTGAATGGAATTGCGCCTGTGAGAGTAGTCTGGTTGACCGGCCGGTACTTGTATATGTTAGAGAGTCCTGTGCACATTTGTTTGTATGCTGGAATTGTCTCTTTTGTTCTTTGCTATCTCCTCTGTCCCTCTCTTCTGATCATCATGGGACAGGCTCAGGTAAATCCTAAGACCCTTCTTCTGAGTCATTTTTCAGAACTCCACGCTAAGGGACACAATTATGGTGTGAAAATTAAGAAAGGTATGTTTGACACCCTTTGCTCAGCTGAATGGCCAACCTTTAATGTAGGCTGGCCTCCTCAAGGTACCTTCTCCTTGGACACGATTAAGAAGGTCCGAGATGTCATTAATAGACCCGGTCTTCATGGCCACCCTGATCAATATCCCTACGTCCTTATGTGGCAGACCTTAGTAGAAGACCCCCCTTCCTGGCTGCGGCCATTTATCCATGGAGCACCTACAGACCGGCCCCGCAATACTGGCCGTGTTGGGGAACACCCCCACTCCCGTTAATTCCCCTAAGAAGCCTATTCTGCAGGAAGACCAAACTCTCCATCCATCCTTGATAGACTTAGATTGTGAAGTAAATCCCCTGCCATATGCCGCTGCCACGCCACTCCAGCCAGAGGCAGATGGCTCCTCTGAGCCTCCCCATTCATCAGCCTCCCCATCTGCACCCCCCGCTCCAGCCTCCAGACCGGCGAGGGGACTCAGGCCCCTTAGGCAGAAAGAAGAAACCCCAGAGGAGGAGCCCTCCTCCACTTCCACTGGACCCCCCATCCTCCCGGTGCGGGCCCTGGGTGGTGCTGGTCCTGATGGGGGACGCACCTATCAGTATTGGCCTTTTTCAAGTAGTGACCTGTACAACTGGAAAGCCCAGAATCCTCCTTTTTCTGAGGACCCTAGAGGCCTGACTGATCTGTTTGAGTCCATTTTGCATACTCACAGTCCCACATGGGATGACTGTCAGCAGCTCCTTTGGACCATATTTACCACTGAGGAACGGAAGCAGATTCTCACTGAAGCCAGAAAGAATGTCCTCGGCGACAATGGGCGACCGACCACCCTGCCAAACCTGATTGATGATCGTTTTCCTTTAAACAGACCCGACTGGGACTATGGGACTGCAGAAGGTAGGAAGTGTCTCCGGGTCTACCGCCAGACTCTTATGGCAGGCCTCCGGGCGGCAGCCCGCTGCCCTACCAATTTGGTTAAGGTAAAGGCAATAATGCAGGGAGAAAATGAAAGCCCGGCCGCGTTCCTTGAGCATCTTTATGATGCATACAGACAGTATACCCCCCTAGACCCACTAGCAGAGGTGAATCAGTCAGCTGGGATAATGTCCTTCATAAATCAGGCTGCCCCTGATATTAGGAAGAAACTATATAAGCAAGAAGGGCTTGGGGAGATGACTACCTGGGATCTGATGAAAGTAGCTGAAAGGGTTTTTAACACCCGAGAAACCCCGGAAGAACGAGAGGATAGAATCAGGAAGGAGAATCAGGAACTACAAGAAAGGATTCGGAAGGAGGACAGGGAACACCAGAGTAAGGAAAACAAGAAACAGCAAAAAGAGATGGCTAAGATATTGCTAGCAGGAGTCCAGGGTCTGGCCGGACCGAGTTCTGGATGGACCGGCCTCACACGTCCCCGAAGAGATCGACCCAGGCTGGACCAAGGACAATGTGCCTATTGTATGGACACTGGAAGAAGGAATGTCCCAAACTCCAGGGTCGCCTGGTACCAAATAGCAGCCCTAATAATGATGCCCGAGTCCTGTTAGCCGGAATGGACAGTGACTAGAGGGCACGGGACTCGGACCCCCTCCCCGGGTCTTGGGTAACCATATATGTGGAGGGGAAGCCCGTGAGATGCATGGTGGACACAGGGGCCCAATATTCAGTCCTTAATAAACCTACTGAGCCACTGTCCCAGAAAATTAGCCTTGTGCAGGGAGCCACTGGATCCAAGGCATATCAATGGACTAGCAAACGTCAGGTGGATTTGGGCCGACATCAGGTGACCCATTCCTTTCTGGTCATTCCTGAGTGCCCTGCTCCCCTTCTGGGATGCGATCTGCTAACTAAGGTGAGGGCTCACATTCACTTTGAGCCAGATGGTCTCAAAGTGACAGATGGACAAGGACAGCCCTTCCAAGTCTTGAACATGTCTCTCAAGGATGAACATCGCTTGTTCTCCTTGTGGGACCCTCCCCCGAAACCTATTGAGTGGTCCCCTGAAATGGCTTATTGGATTCAAACCTACCCCCAGGCTTGGGCAGAAATAGCAGGTGTGGGGCTGGCGGAACATCGAGCCCTAGTATAGTAGAGATCAAGGCTTCGGCTCAGCCCATCCGAGTCCGTCAGTATCCCATGTCTTCCGAGGCACGGAGGGGCATTGCACCTCACATAAACCGTCTCCTGGAGGCTGGAATATTATGACCCTGCCGTTCTGCTTGGAACACTCCACCCCTCCCTGTTAAGAAACCTGGGGGAAAAGACTATAGGCCAGTCCAAGATTTAAGGGAAGTAAACAAGAGGGTTGAGGACATCCACCCCACAGTCCCCAACCCCTATACCTTGCTGAGCCATTTGCCCCCCTCCCATGTTTGGTATACCACTTTGAACTTAAAAGATGCTTTTTTTAGCATAGCCCTGGCACCCAATACTCAACACATTTTTGCTTTGAATAGCATGATGAAAATACGGGAACCCCCAGACAGCTAACATGGACTAGACTTCCACAAGGTTTCAAAAACTCCCCTACTCTGTTCAATGAGGCTCTTAATCAGGATCTGGACTCATATCACTGGAGCCACAGTTCCGTCACACTTTTGCAGTATGTAGATGACTTGCTTCTGGCAGCTGCATCTGAAGCTGAGTGCTGGCAAGCCACTGGAGACCTCCTCCAGGAGCTGGGGAAGTTGGGCTATTGGGCCAGTGCAAAGAAGGCTCAAATTTGTAGACAAACAGTCACCTACCTGGGGTATGAACTAAAAGAGGGAACCAGATGGTTAACGAATGCTATGAAAGAAACTATTCTCAGACTCCCCGTCCCCACCTCGGCTCGAGAAGTCCGAGTTCCTGGGGATGGGGCTACTGCGGCTGTGGATATTGGGGTATGCTGAACTGGCAAAACCCTTATACGAGGCAACTAAGGACAAGGCCCCTTGGGCCTGGGGGCCAGATCAACAAAAGGCCTTTGAGGAGCTCAAGACCACCCTCTTGAGAGCCCTGGCCCTGGCGCTGCCAGACCCTCTAAAGCCCTTCACCCTCTTTGTAGACAAAAGAAGGGGGATAGCGAAAGGGGTACTAATGCAGTGCCTAGGGCCCTGGAAGTGGCCAGTTGCTTATCTATCCAAAAGGTTAGACCCAGTTGCAGCGGGCTGGCCCCCATGCCTGCGGATCATAGCGGCAGTTGCCCTAATGGTAAAGGACGCAGATAAGCTCACTTTTGGGCAACATCTGAAGGTGGTAACCCCCCATGCAGTAGAGGGAGTCCTAAAGCACCCTCCAGGTAGATGGATGACCAACGTCCGACTGACTCATTACCAAGGGCTCTTGCTGGATGCTCCCCGAATCCTCTTCTCCGACCCGGTTTCTCTAAATCCGGCCACCTTGCTGCCAAATCTGGACCTGGAAGCCCCTCTACATGACTGTCAGGAGATTATAGCTGAAATCACCCAAGTGCGCCCCGATCTCCAGGACTCAACCCTACCCAACAGTGAGCTGGTATGGTATACAGATGGGAGTAGTTTCGTCTCGGATGGGGTGTGTAAGGCGGGCGCAGTGGTGGTGGACCAAGGTGGGAACATAATATGGAGTGCCCCGCTGCCCCCGGGGACCTCAGCCCAGAAGGCCGAACTGATCGCGCTGGCAGAGGCACTCGAGCAGGCTGAGGGAAAACGAGTGACTGTTTATACTGACAGCCGTTATGCTTTCAGCACCGTCCATGTACATGGCGCCATCTACCGGGAAAGGGGTTTCATTACAGTGGAAGGAAAGGAGTTACATAACCTCCCAGAGATCCAGAGACTACTGACTGTGGTGCAGAAGCCCCAAGCTGTGGCGTAGTACATGTTCCTGGTCACCAATCTGCCCAGACTCCAGAAGCTACGGGGAACCGGCGTGTGGACACAGCAGCCCGAAATGCTGCTTTGGCCTCCACGACCCTAGCGTTGACCTTACCTGTGCCCGAGCTTCCATGCTTGCCACCGTGACCCGAGTACACTCTGGAAGACAAACAATGGATCCAAGATCACGGGTGCCCAGAGCCCAATCAGCAAGGCTGGTATCATGATATCATAGGGCGGCTGATCCTTCCTGAAAAGTTAGGACTGTTTCTCTTCTCCAATTTACATCGAGCCAACCATTTAGGCAAGAAGAAACTACTCACCCTTCTTGAGTGGCCCGCCTCCGGTTCCCGCATCAAACAGCCCATATTCAAAAGATTGTGGGCCAATGTACTGGGTGCCAGGCTATGAAACCCAGCAAAAGGGGACTCCTACATATAGGTACACGGGTATGGGAGAGGTCGCCAGGACGGAGCTGGGAAGTGGATTTCACTGAGGTGAAGCCAGGAAGGTATGGGTATAGGTATTTGTTGGTTCTGATAGACACCTTCTCAGGCTGGGTGGAGGCCTTTCCTATAAGACAAGAGACTGCTCAGGTTGTAGCTAAGGTTTTGCCGAAGGAAATCATACCCAGATATGGCATCTCCGAAACTCAAGGCTCTGATAACGGTCCGGCTTTCATCAGTAATGTCCTACAAGGGCTGGCCCAGGCAGTGGGGACTAATTGGAAACCGCATTGTGAATATAACCCCCAGAGCTCAGGGCAGGTAGAAAGAATGAATCGGACCCTAAAGGAGACCTTATCTAAATTAGTCATCGAGACTGGTGGAGACTGGGTGGCCCTCCTACCCTATGCCAACTTCCGGGCTCGAAATTCACCATATGTACATGGATTGACACCTTTTGAAATTCTATACGGGGCTCCACCCCCCATTATTGTCTGAACCCTACCGGACCAAGACCCCAGTACGGCCCCAAATTACTTGGCCAGCTTAAAAGCCTACAGGAGGTCCAACGTGAAATCTGGCCCATAGTGCGCCTTGTATGAGACAAAGGACACATCGAACCCGGAACATGGCATCGTCCCAGGGGATTGGGTATGGGTAAAGAGGCACAGAGCCGCACTCTGGAAGAAAGATGGAAAGGCCCTTACCTGGTCATTCTGGTTACCCCACTGCTCTTAAGGTTGACGGCATCGGGCCTTGGGTCCATCACTCCCACGTGCGTCAAGCCAATCATCAGGAACAGAAAGGCTAGAGAGTGGACGCATCGGCACCCAGATAACCCATTGAAGCTGAAGCTTTTGCGACCCCGGAACATGCAGAGTCTTCAGGAGCAGCCACGGATGGGTTGGCTGGTCGCTCTGATCTTGCTCAATGCCCAGAGCAGGAGCCTCGCAGAAACCAACCCTCACCAGCCCTATAAGCAAACCTGGATACTCACCGATGGGAGACTCATACCACCCTTAACGAGACTACTCGCACTGCCCCCATAGGAACTTGGTGGCCGGAGCTTCAATTCTGCTTCAGAGACATCAATCCTGCCTACAAGTCTACTGCCCCGGAGTCAGCCTGACATTATGGTTTTTATGCTTGCCCCGGCCACAAAAAGAACAAGGACTGTGGGGGGATACAACACTCCTTCTGTAAGTCATGGGCATGTGTCACATCCAACGATGGTGAATGGAAGTGGGGGATATCAAAACCGGACCTAGTCAAATTTGCCTTTGTAAACGGGGTACCCTGGGGATGCAGAATTCCGTCACCCACACATGAATGCCAGCCCACAGATACAGATAGAATCAAGGTCACCTTCACTGACAGTGGCAAAGAGGACACCCCGGGTGGATACAAGGTAAGGTGTGGGGACTTGTGTTTTATAAATATGGTGGACATTCTGGCTCGACCGTAGTAATCAGATTAAAAGTTGAGCCCATGGGGCCACCGTCCAAAATGGTAGGCCCCAACAAAGTACTTAAGCCGCCCTATGTAGAGCCACCTCTCCGACCTCGCACAACCCCAGTCCCTACCCAGCCTCACACAAAGGCTAGTATTAAAACTCCAGGACCATTAGGCACCGGCCCTCCCTTGGTGAAGCCCAGTCTCATGACCGGGTCCACAGACCCCCTCTGGAATCTGGTAAATGCTGCATTCCTAACATTGAACCACACCAACCCTAATATGACTACCTCCTGCTGGCTGTGCTATGATGTGAGGCCCCCATTCTATGAGGCAATAGGGCTAAATGTCACCTACGATATCTCGACTAGTGAAAACCCCCTCAATGTTCCTGGGGAGACCGTAAGAGAGGTCTGACCATACAACAAGTGAGCAGCCAAGGAACCTGCTTAGGGAAGGTGCCGTGGGAAAACAGGACCTATGTGCTGTTGTAAAACAACCCCACCTGGGGCGATGGTATTAAGTGGGTAATTCCAAAAGGCAATGGATGGTGGATATGCTCACAGTCCGGGCTCACCCCTTGCCTATCAACTAATGTGTTTAACGGCTCTAAAGTATTCTGTGTCCTAGTGGCTGTGCTGCCCCGCATCATCTATCATTCTGAGGAGAGCCTATATTCATACTGGAATACAGGAACAGGTGAGAGAAAGAAGAGAGAGCCTATTTCTGCATTAACCCTTGCTACCCTACTTAGCCTAGGGGTGGCTGGGGCAGGAACTGGCATAGCCTCCCTGGCTATTCAACATAAAGGGATGTCCTCACTACGCGCAGGCATAGATGAGGATATAGAGAGGAAAGAAGCCTCCATTAGTCACCTAGAAAAATCCCTTACCTCTCTATCTGAGGTAGTGCTTCAGAACCGACGGGGCCTAGACTTATTGTTCCTTCAGCAGGGGGAATATGTGCCCCCTTAGGGGAGGAATGTTGTTTTTATGCTGACCATTCAGGGGTAGTTAGGGATTCTATGTCTAAAGTGAGGGAAGGACAGGCAAAAAGGAAACGGGAAAGGGAAGCCCAAGAAAATTGGTTCGAAGCTTGGTTCAATAGGTCCCCCTGGTTCACTACCTTGGTCTCTACCCTGGTGGGCCCTCTGGTCATACTACTGCTTATCTTAACCTTTTGTCCTTATATTCTGAATAAGCTAGTGACCTTTGTGAAAGATCGAGTTAGTACAGTCCAACTAATGGTCCTGAGGCAGCAATATGAACAGTTACCTAGCCTTGAGGATGTTTATGCTCGTTGCCCAGATGAGCGTGATTCCTCATTATGAACAACTAAAGGGGGGAATGTTAGGGTACAAATGTTAGGGTACCTTTGAGGCTTGCAGCCCATTCAGACTGAAACCCGCCATGGCTAACATGACCCAAGCCACCACTTACTGGAACAAAGGGAGGTGGGACTGTTTCTGGTTAATCTTGCTAAAATGGTATGTGAGTCAATGAGTTGAGACACCTGGTGTTTACCAAATTCCTGATAAATAATCTTCAAGTAATCTGGCCCCACCACCAGGATGTGGGAGATATCAGAAATATGTGACCCCAGGACCATAAAAATTGCTGTGTAACCGTGACTAATGTCTAAAAAATATAAAAGCAGCCTGAACTTTCTATTCGGGTCCGTGTTGAAACCCACTGCGTAGGGCGGATACCTGGACCCCAGCTGGCTGGAAATAAACCTTGCTTTGTGGCTTACATTATCGTGAGTGTCTTTTTGTTCCTCTGAGCGGTGGTCAACTTTGGACCCCAACAAACTCACTGACTATGTATTGAGTACATCCTCCTTGAGGCACTTTGTTCTAGCTATTGTTAGAAGATGAATACTATTGACTACACAGGCAGTAAAAAATTATTACCTCCCCCCCAAAATGTTTATGTTGATCTGAAAATCTGTGATTCACTCACATATTTCTGAATCCATTTGGCTTTTTGCCTCAGTTCCAAGTCATCATTAAGCATGTTAATCAAGTTGATAAAAGTTTTGGCTACATTTACAAATGTTATTCCTGTTATTATTAAACTTGTCTTTTATTCTGTTTTCCGAAGTTCTTGTTATAGTTGTGTCAAAGCTTCAAAACTTCTTTAGAAGTTTAAATTAGAAATTTATCTTGAACTTGAAACTTATCGCCCCAATATTTATCAGAATTTCTTTGATCTAACATCAGACTGAATTTGTAAGGAGAAGCAACAGATTTCACTTTACAAATATTGCTTCTGGTGGGATCAAAAGTTCAGTGAAAATGGAGTTTTCTCAAAAGATTTAGAAAGGGTTTCTTCTAGGCTAGGTTGGGAAACTTTGTGAAATCAAAAGGAAAGGGAACATGTTTTTTAGAGTTTCAGGAACTCTAAGGAGAATGCACTCAGCTCAAAATCTACCTCAAACTTCTGGGAAGTAAAATAGAATAATTAATTTTAACTTTTTAATTAAAGCTTTCATCATTTGAAAAGCTGTGTGATGCCTATATAAAAATAGAAAACAGAGATTAACAAGACTAGGAAAAAAAAAAAACAACACTAAGAAAGTGGTGTAGTGTTCTTCCACACAGAGACAGATGGTGATGTTGGTCCCCCAGTGGATATGCCTACATTTCTTTACACATATGCACACATACACCATTACAGTTATACCAAAATGAAGTCATGCTGTAAATATTTTAATGCTAACAATGTACTTTTTACATAAAATACATTCTCTAAGTAATAACAAATTTCCTCAGTTGTCTCACAACTGTTGTTTGCAATTGTTTTAATCAAATCAGTATCCAGTTCTACTTTCATTTGGCACAATCTACCTCCTGCTCTTCCTTCTTTTTTCACAACACCAACTTACTGAAAAAAAAAAAAACTTATTGAAAAAAAAGAAGTCCTGAGGACAATATTTCACCTCCTGGATTTGTGTGGTATGTCCCCTGTGGTCTTTTTCAGTTTGACCTCTATCTCCTGTAGGTTCTACAAACTGGCAGTCAGATCTGAAGTTGACAGATTTGTGCAAAACATTATTGGTTCACACCCATCTCTGTGATGCTAGGTACTTCATATAGTATCATGCCAGAGGCATGATGTCACTGATCATGGAGAACTGGATAGGGTAAACAGTTGACCACTGCATGTACTGTTAGAATCTCTGTGTGATAACTTTGGTACAAACACACAGTTCCCCATGAATGATATACAGAATGGTTTTAACGTCACT